GTCATATTATTCATATGATTTAGATTAAATTGAATATTTAAAATAAACCATATAACAGATTGTGTTAATTTGGAAAAAAGAATGGAATGTGAAATAATTAAATAATATTGGGATATGATAGGCATTAACAGAGTAAAACTAAAAAAGAAGACTATTTTAATGGTCACACAAAATAGTTGGAAAATATTCATATCTTTGGAATCATTTAAAGAATTTTAAATATTCATAAATTGGAATAAAAAATGAATGGAAATTTTATTAGTTCTTTATGAAATACAAATCGATCAAATACAAATTGTGTTCTTTGTCGAATGTCGAATAATTAAATAATGTCTTTAAAAGCATTTAAGGAATTTTAAATACCAAATAATTCGTAAAATATTCTCTAGAATAATAAATAAATATTTTAATAAATAATTTTTAGGATTTAATTTAAATTTGTTTCTTTACATTTCATAAATTTGGTATAAGCCTTTATTTTTATTACCTGAAAAAATATTTTTTTCTTTTATTTTAGAAATAAAATATTTTTCTTCTATATTTTTTAAACATAATTTTAACACCCTGTCTCTCCTTGTCTTTACAGCGCAATATCTATCGCCTCGTATTATTGAACATCCCACAGATTTAGTGGTGAAAAAGAATGAACCGGCCACACTGAATTGTAAAGTTGAAGGCAAACCGGAGCCAACAATTGAATGGTTTAAGGTAAGTCCTCAAAGAAAAACACTAAGGAATAAAAAGAGAAAAATATTTTCTAAAGGAAAATATTAAAAAAAAATATATTTTTGAATATTTACCCAAAGAAATATTGGAGACATTTAAACATTTATTGTCCCCAATTTTTTTTTTTTTAAACTTTCCGATAAAGAAAACCGACAAATATTTCGAGGTATTGCAAATAAAATGTCTTTAGGGTGGAGGCAGGTAGCACTACAGTTGGAACTACTTGAAAGGAACAATCGGTGCTATGTCTGCTTCTTTCCTTCATCTACTCTCTAGTTTTGCCATTAAATCTAGAGTTTTGTTGTTCAAACTAGTTCAAATGAACTATTTCTCAAAAGGAACGATCGAAACTAGATCCGTTTTGTTCGTTCAACTAGTTCCTTCAGTGCTATGTCTACTTCTTTCCTTCATCTACTCTCTAGTATTGTCATTAACTCTAGAGTTTTGTTGTTCAAACTAGTTCAAATGAACTATTTCTCAAAAGGAACGATCGGAGCTAGATCCGTTTTGTTCGTTCAACTAGTTCCTTCAGTTACTCCAGTCGTTCATTTTTTGTTCTTGTTCTCCGTGTTCCCTTTGAACAAATCGTTCAACTTGATATTTCTGTTCACTAGAAGACTTAATGTCATGTACTAAAGATTTAATGAAATTAAATGAATTATGGAACTAGTACCATTTACGGCGTGAATCCAAAAAGATTGAACCGCTTCAGGAATGAGATTGCCTAAATCGCCATAATATAAATAATGGCTAAATCGCCATAGAGTTTTTATTCCAATCAAGAATACCTATATATTTAATGGAATCTCCGATGAGTATTTCGAGACAAATTTAAGATATGCTCCACCTTATGGTGAAGGTGTGTAAGATTATAGAGTTAGGTCGTTCCGGAATGAAATGGTTCAAATTTCTTCTTTCGTTTATTTAGTTCCTTCGGTTGTTCCAGTTGTTCCTTTGTTCCACCTAGTTTCTTTTGATGTAATCGTTCATCTAAATCTTTCCGATCATGGGCCGAATTAACTGACCAATAAAAAGTTAAACTACTTTGGAACTAAATGAATGAACTAACGGATCGAACGGACCAAAGCGAGACAAAATTGAAAATATCGACATAGAATTTTAATTGCGATTACGAATACGGACGAATATTTCGAGGTGTTGCAAACAAAATAACAAGTTTGATATGCACTTCACCTTAGGGTGGAGGCAGGTAACAAGTTGAAAATGGGCAAAAGGAACGATTGGTTGAAAGGGGCTTAAGGAACGATTGGTATTAGGTCTGCTTCTTTCGTTCAACTAGTCTCTAGTTGTTAAAATAACTCTAAAGTTTGATCGTTCCGAAACGTACTAGTTCGAAGGAATTATGGAATATACAATTCTATTTATGGTGGAGGCAACACTAGAATTGGATGGTTTCGAAACGAAAATAAAATTAAATAAACTATTCCGCGAGTCGAACGATCGGAACTAGATCCGTTTCATTCGTTCATCGAGTTCGCTTAGTTGCTCCAGTCGTTCCTTATTTGCTTTCATTCACCCAGTTTCTTTTGAACCAATCGTTCGTCTAGATTTTACCGTGCATTGACCGAGTTAACTGAAATATACCAATGAACGATTGAACTAAAATAAATTATGGAACTAAATGAACTAGTTTATTTTGGGAGGCGAATCGAAAAAAGTGAACTGTTTCAGGAATAATATCGATTATGACAAATTTAATACATAATGACAAATTTAATACATAATTCAACTTATGGTGGAGACAAGGTACACAAACTGGTAAAACTAGAGTTCGTTCATAGAGGAACGAACTAGTTCCAATGAACTATTCCGTAAAAAGAAAGATCGTTCTTTCGTTCGTGTAGGTCCTTGTGCCCCATACGTTTCTTTGTTCCTTCGCTTAGTTATTTTTAATCTAATCTTTAATCTAGATTATTAATTTACCGAGTTATCGGACGTGTACCAATGAACGATTGAACTAAAAGAGAACTGTGGAACTAAATGCATGATGGCATAGTTCCTTTGGCGGCGTGAATCCTAACATATTGAACCGATTCATGGTTAAATCAATATAGGATTTTAATTGCGACCAAGATAACTAAGCGAAGGAAAACGAACAAAGAAACGAATGGAGTAAAAGGACCTACATGATCGAAAGAAAGATCGTTGCTTTTGCGGAATAGTTAATTTGAATTAGTTCGTTCCAGAACGACCCAATTCTAGTGTTACGAGTCTCTGTCTCCACTATAAGTTCGGTTGTATCTTAAATTTGACATTTGACAGTACACGATTGAACTAAAATAGAACATGAATGATGACCTAGTTCCTTTGACGGTATAAATCCTAAAAATATTGAACCGTTTCAACATGATTAAATCGTTATAGAATTTTAATTGCGATCCATATCCTTGTTCCTTTTGCGGTGTGAATCCTAAATATATTTAACCCCTTCAACATGGTGAAATCGATATAGGATTTTAATTGAGATTAAGATCAGAATTGAACTAAAACGGAACTATGGTGACCAAGTTCCTTTTGCTGAATGAACCCTAACATATTGAACCGCTTCAACATGGTTAAACCGTTATAGGATTTTAATTTGTGATCAAGAACAGGATTTAACTAAAACGAAAATGTGGAACTAAATGAATGATGACCTTGTTCCTTTTGCGGCGTGAATCCTAAAAATATTGAACCGCTTCAACATGGTGACATCGATATAGAATTTTGATTGAGATTAAGATTAGGATTGACCTAAAACGGAACTATGGAACTAAATGAATGATGACCTTGTGCCTTTTGCCGCATGAACCCTAAGATATTGAACCGCTTCAACATGGTTCAATCAATATAGGATTTTAATTGCGATCAAGATCAGGATTGAACTAAAACGGAACTGTGGAACTAAATGAATTATAATGGAACATGACCTAGTTCCGTTGACGGCGTGATCCCTAACATATTGAACCACTTCAACATGGTTAAATCGATATAGGATTTAAATTGCGAACAAGAACACCTATATTTAAGGGGTCCTCGGTGAATATTTCGATATGAAAAATTTAATAGACACTTCACTCTATGGTGAAGGCCATAAAAAATATTGAACAGTGTTTTTAGAAGCAGGCGTTTTGTAGTAACTCATTTGAATTCATTCGAACCGAATATGACAAAAATAGTTTCGGAGTTTTTTAAATTATTTTTTTTTTCGTTCAATTTTCAAAAAAATTATCTGTTTTTATTAAATATTTTACTTATTTTCTCTTTCTTCCTCTCTTCCTTTCGCAGGACGGCGAACCTGTCAATACAAATGATAAGAAATCACATCGTGTGCTCTTCAAGGATGGTGCCCTGTTCTTCTATCGCACTGTGCAGGGCAAAAAGGAACAGGACAGTGGTGTCTATTGGTGTGTGGCCAAAAATCATGTTGGCAAAGCAGTCAGTCGTCATGCCACTTTGCAAATAGCGGGTAAGTGTCGGGAAAAATAACGGAAAAAAATGAAATGAAAAAAGAAAATAATCAGCGACTGCAAACATGTCTTAAACAGCCGCTAATGGCTGCAAGAATGTTGTTGCGGTCGTGGTGATGGCGGTGGATGTCTTGCCACCTCCGAACAAGTGGCAAATAAGCAAATTAACACTTTTGGTGTGGAGGCGATAGGAAAACAGAAACAAAACCAATATAGCAGCTACTTCCTACATAGAATGGAAAAGGCAGTAAAAAGGGGAGGGCTATTATCTCCTACCTAGGCAGAAGTTTGGTGTGAGGGGTGGCCTCATGTGGTGGAAAATATTTAGAAAAAAAACTCCCAACCATTAACACTTTTTTATGTACAAAAAACATCAGCAAATAAACACCTTTTTGCGAACTGGGGGAAAAAAATACTGTGGACAAGTTTCTGTCATTGCAGTTAGGTGTTGATGACACCACGATGTTATCTTGGAACGATGTAAAAAATATATATGAGGATCCCTACACACAGAGTACATTCTACCCTAGACATGCCCTAGAAGCTGGCAGCATTTCACACATTTTGGCCAATAAAACATTTCGAGCCACCGCCATGGTAGTTGGCCATAAATCTATCATTGTGGCGGTTGTTAAGCAAAACATCAATTGTATCGTTGATTTCCCTATGCAACAGCAGCAAGAACCACAAAAAAAAACCACGGAGCAGATCCATATTCCAATTCACACTCCAGTCTCGCGTTTTTGCCACTTCTCTTAAAAAGGGGAAAATTTGAAATGATGAAGTGTTTTTTTTGCTCATACGAAGAACCTAATGGTTATGTTATGCTTTAGAATATTTATTGGTTACACTCCTAACGTCCTCCCCCATTCTGCTGCTTACTGGGTAGCAGAGATATGAACAAATTTTTTGCCACTCCAAATCGTATGAAAATTCAAAATGTGACAATAATTTGTTGTTTTTTCTTCAACGACCATTTTGTGGGTTCTCGTAATTTTTGTGTGTTTTTCCGATTTTTTTGTTGTTGGTTTGTTGTAATATTTTGTATTACATGTGTTGAATAATTTTGTTTGTTTGTTGGTACTTCTCACTCATTTCACACAACACACATAAATATATTTACACTTATGTTGGCCTGGGGAATAATTTTTGTTTTTTTTTCGTCGTGTGGAAGGAAGCCTCCTTTTTCGTTCCCAATGCAAATGCAACTAAATCATTTTTATGACTTAAATGGAATTTGAACGGGGAACCGAACAAAAAACCAACCGCTAAAAATAATTTCGAAAAAAAACATCTAAACGACCAGTGTAATGTTCAATTAGAAGTGTGAATGAGTCGGGTAGTCATTTCGGGATTTTTTTTATATTTTTATTTTTTTAAAGGTTTTGAAAATTTCGTTGAAACATAATTTTGTTGTTTTACATGAAAATTATTTGAGATGTAATGGTTTCTTTTGAAAGTTGTTAATATTTGTGTTAATGGAGAATGAAATGTGGGGTCGGATTTTCATACAGGCTGAAGAAATGAAAAAAAAAATAATATTAAGCGCTTGGTCAGATTGCCTTCTACCATGGATCATTAAAATTGAAAACCTTTTCATGTGGCCTTGCTTCACTCTTTTGTGGTCCCTTAAAAAATATTAGTTTGGGGAAAAAGAAATCCAATATTTTTTTCCCCAACCTAATATTTGTTAAGGAACCAAATAGATTTCTCGTAAAGTATCGATCGAATACTTTCAGACTTACACTCGTTGTAAGGGTGACACTTCGCAGTAAAAATAATTATTTTTCAGTTTTTTTGTTCAGTGCATTCAGTTGTGAGTTACAGGGTGTTAAAAATGGAAGTGAACAAAAAGAAAATTCGGCACATTTTACAGTTTTTCTTTGACACAGGCGAAAATGTAAGATAAGCGGGAAAAATTATGAATGGTGTTTATGGTTCCGATACTGTAACAGCCAATTATGTGCATTTACAATTGACCAGAAACGGCCAGAATTGGCCAACAGGAGAGGTGTCGTGTTCCATGAGGACAACGATAGGCCACACACGCACATCTACAGTGACTCGTCAGAAACTTCAGGAGCTTGGTTAGGAAGTTTTAATGCATCCGCCATACAGTCCGGATTATCAAGCGATTATCATATTTTTTTTATTTGTATTGCAAAATGTCTTTAATGATAAAAAGTTGGTATCTGGGGAGGATTGTGAAAATCGACTACTAGAGTTTTTTTTTGCATATTGAGAGCAGAACTTCTATGATAGAGGCACTATCAAGTTACCTTAAAAATGGCAACAAATCATACAATAAACGGAGCATATTTGGTCCAAATCGGACGTTCCGAAGCATGTTAAATAAAGTCCTTCACTTCATTTAAAAACCAAATATAAATTTCCATAACTTCTGACCTTAACAATCATAAGTACGAATTTCCAAAACCTCCCACATATCCTAATCTTAATATCAAATATCAGGATTCCAGCTCTATCGGTTCACTTAAATCCAAATTGCATCAAATTTAGTACCATTTAGTACATATAAATGCAATGTTCCATTACTAACTACATCATACAATCCAATAGAAATTTTATATCCCAATTTCAGGATTCCAGACCTATCGGTGTACCCAAAAATCCAAACTGTACCAAATTTAGTACCATGTAGTACTTTACGAATTTTCAACGTTATTTACATTCCTCAATTCCACACTCTAACAGTAATGTTAATTCCACATATCTAGTATTCCAGCTCTATCGGTTCACCTAAATCCGAATTGTATCAAATTTAATACTTTTCGCACATACAAGTGCAAATTTTTAAAACTACCTACATATCCCAATCATACACAACAACAGGATCCCTAATTTCAAATTTCAGTATTTTTTGACCCCAACAGGAATCCTAACTCCAAATTTCAGGATTCTAGCTCTATTGGTTCCCCCAAAATTCAAATTGTACAGAATTTAGTAACATTTAGTACTCATAAGTACGAATTCACAAAACTATATACAAACTTCAATTGTTGTTACTATTCCAGCTTTTAAAATACAAATTGTATCGAATTTAGTACCATTTAGTACCCATAAGTACAAATTTCCAAAACTACATTCATACTCCCATTCCAACACTCCAACAATAATCTTTTTTCAAAATTTCAGTGTTCCTCCAGTTCCATCTGGTCATCTAAATCCTAATTGTACCAAATTTCGTACCTATTAGGTACACATTTGTAGAAGTTTCCCAAACTTCCCACATACTCCAATCCTACAACCCAAAAGTGATCGTAACTCCAAATTTCAGGATTCCAGCTCTATTGGTTCATCCAAAATTCTTATGGTACCAAATTAAGTACTCATAAGTACGAATTTCCCAAACTACCCAAATACCACAGTTTTACAATGCAGTAGTAATCTTATTTCAAATTTCATTGTTGCAGATCTATCGGTTCACTCAAATCCTAATTATATAAAATATTGTACTATTTAGTACTTTTCGTACTCATAAGTACACATTTCCAAAACTACCTACATATCCCAATCCTACACTCCGTTTGTAATGTTAATTTCAAATTTCAGGATTCCAGCTCCATTTGTACCTCCAAATTAAATTTGTACCAAACATAGGACCATATAGTACTTTTCGCTCAAATTGAGTACACGCTTTCAAAATGATCTTCTAATATCGACCCCACTTCCCAACGTCAATTCGGTATACTAAAAGACGATCGATCGACTAGCTGAGTCGATCTAGACATGTGTGTCCGTCCGTCTGTCCATTATAATTTGTAAACACGATACAGGCCACAGTTATGGACCAATCTTCACGAAATTTTGCATGTAGGATGGCTTAGGCCCAATGAAGACCCCTATTGTTTTTGGTAAAGATCGGTTAATATTTAGGGGATGAAATGGACCAAATACTTACATTTTTTCGGTTTTTCTGGTCGCTGTAGATTATGGCCCAAACATCGAATTTTTACATGGAGAAGGGGATTGGGCCAAAGAATAAGCATGCCTGTTTTGATAAAAATCGATCAATATTTAGCGGGTCAAATGGACCATGACTTTTGTGTGAAAAATGACAAAATTTGTATTCTATGGCTTATATGTTTACTCCTATACCCAAGAGGAGTGGTCGGCCTTTAAATTGATACCAATTATTTTGTCCTATGTACTCGGATGTGGGAGTTACACTTAAATATTTACCATTGCCACACTAGAGGGCGGAAATATAGCGCTGATCGCTTTGAAATGTTCCATGAGGTTCCAGTTATGGTCAACGCCTTTAATTTTCGGTGATGATCAGATAATAATTTGGGGGTGAAGTGGACCGAAAACTTATTTTTTGGTATTTTTTTTCCGATTCAATGTATAGACTACATTTATAAGCCGAACATCACAACCCAACCCACGGTGAAGGGAAAATTAGAAGGGCTGTACTGAATATTGGTAATATTTGGAAAATATGTCAGTGTAAGGAAGATGTGCTGTTGACATCTAATCGGATAGACAGAAAGATAGAGTTCTATGGTAGTTGTGTAGGGTATCGTATGGTCGGCCCCGTCCGACTATACTGCTCTGCTCACTGTTTTTTATTTATTTTCAATTCTTATAGTAAAGCAAATTTCCATACCGAAAGTTATCGATATTGCCTCCAATATTGGGTATTTTTGGGTCGAAATTTTGTACATCGGTTGGCTTCTAATTTAGTAGAAAATCTGTCTAACAAAACAAGCTATCAATATTGGTCAACTTTTTGGAGTTTTGGGGCCTTTAGTCATATTTTGCGACCAAAATGGCTTCTATTTTTTAATTTTGGATTCTCAGTGGGCGCCAAAGTTTTCTACTCCAAAAAATTAGCAATATCGGTCGCCGTTTTGGTATAATCGCCACTATTTTCTATTTTGATGATTTCAGACATATTTTCGAAACGTCATGCGTCATTTTCAGGGTACTAAACCGACCTGAGTATCGGCATTTCCTTTTCTCCTGAATTTGGTTC